ACTCAGATTTGGGAGGGGTATTTTTCGAGAAAACTTAAAAATCAAAATAAGGGTCACATTTTCCCCCACACTTTTTTGAAGGCTGCAGACAGAGGGGACACGTATAAAAAGACTCTAGGGTTGTATGCAAGCACACAGAGGAATAAGCGGTCTTTCAATTGATACTCCTCTTCAAAAATCCGGATAAACTTCTGATCATCATCATCATATCATAACTGGTTTTGGTATTTACGGTGCTGCGGTAGTCTCAGTCACTGGGGTTGGCAACACCTGGCACAGTCTAACTCCTGCTCTCCCTCCTTCCCTGTCCCGCGGATCGGTGCCAGACAGGTTGCAGACACTAACATCATTACTCACACACTCTGACCACGTCTTTCTGGGTCTCCCTCTACCTCTGCGGCCAGGAATTTCTATGCTGGTGACGGAGTTGATGCATGACGAGGCACGTTGCACGTGTCCGAAACACCTGAGACGTCGTGTACCTAGGACAGACGTGATCTCAACGACCCCCAGTTTCTGGTGAAGTGCAGGCGTGGAAAAGTCAACATCCAGTTTGGTGCCACAGATCCAGCGGATATTTATTCAAAAACAGGCGCGACAAACTCTGCTGGAAACCTTCGTTTTCGGATAAAATGTTGACATATTTATATACAATAATTAGATTCAATTTAGAGTACTCGATGTCATCTACAAACGTTAAACTAAAACCAAGTTAATGTTCGTAGAGAACTATTAGGCGCACCAAAAAAACTACCAAAAAAAAAAACCTTTTTCATGGTTGGAATATCATTTTCCAGCATATATCATTGATTGATCCTTTCCTTCATGCTATTATAGCAGACACTCATGCAGTCGGAAAAAGCAACATCATTCAGAAAAACAATAGAAAGCGGCCTCAAACAGACGTAGTTCAAAAGATTTTAGAAATCTTAAATTTAGACATCAACTGACTAATATGTCCTTCAAAAAGGTGAAAATTCTACTGGTAACACGTGAATGCAAATCAGTAGAATGAACGGGTGAACAAGCTGATTCATTACATTTTCTCCTTGAAAACTTTTACCCTTGGAAATCACATTTTTGTCCAGAACTATTAACACTTCTACCACTGAGGCGAAGCTACTTTCGCACCACTTGCAAAACGACTAGATCTATCAAAATGAATGATAATAGTTGTCAAAAAAATAAGACCAGACAACCGAATAAAAAATTAGTATCGGAACAAAACTTACCAAGCGGTAACAAATCCACAAAAACCTAAGCAGAAACTTTTTGCAGTTTAGCTCATTAAAGAGCCACAGAATTTTAAATCTTGCTCATCTTGGAACATTGATATCCATTAAAAGAAGTCAGAACAAAAAATGAAATACGAGAAAATTTGAGCTCATTTTAGAGACATGGAGTGTGTGAACCTTTACAAATTATCCCACCTAATGTTGGAAGAAAAGCTAACAAGATCACACCATTGAGTATTATGAAAGAGCGTATAAACAACCACGAAGATGATGATGATTTTTGTAAAGAAAAAGACGCGTATTCGTACAATCTTGGCTATCGCTAAGGAAATGAAATCTTAGTAACAGACTATGCTTGTTTTAACTAATTGAGATCCAACACTTGCTTTATCATGAATCAATATATTATCTTAAAAAATATATCAAAACATTAAACACTAGCACTTTTTTTACACTTTTACACTATTTTCTTTCTTTCAAGCTATTTTACAAATAACTAAAACAATTGGCACATCATTACAAATAATTTAAAGTAACGACTGAAAGCTGTTTTAACGACTAACTAGGTGCGACACCGCCACCGACATGCAAGCACACAGAGGAATCAGCGGTCTTTCAATTGATACTCCTCTTCAAAAATCCGGATAAACTTCTGATCATCATCATCATATCATAACCGGTTTTGGTATTTACGGTGCTGCGGTAGTCTCAGTCACTGGGGTTGGCAACACCTGGCACAGTCTAACTCCTGCTCTCCGTCCTTCCCTGTCCCGCGGATCGGTGCCAGACAGGTTGCAGACACTAACATCATTACTCACACACTCTGACCACGTCTTTCTGGGTCTCCCTCTACCTCTGCGGCCAGGAATTTCTATGCTGGTGACGGAGTTGATGCATGACGAGGCACGTTGCACGTGTCCGAAACACCTGAGACGTCGTGTTCCTAGGACAGACGTGATCTCAACGACCCCCAGTTTCTGGTGAAGTGCAGGCGTGGAAATGTCAACATCCAGTTTGGTGCCACAGATCCAGCGGATATTTATTCAAAAACAGACGCGACAAACTCTGCTGGAAACCTTCGTTTTCGGATAAAATGTTGACATATTTATATACAATAATTAGATTCAATTAAGAGTACTCGATGTCATCTACAAACGTTAAACTGTAACCAAGTTAATGTTCGTAGAGAACTATTAGGCGCACCAAAAAAAAAACATTTTTCATGGTTGGAATATCATTTTCCAGCATATATCATTGATTGATCCTTTCTTTCATGCTATTATAGCAGACACTTATGCAGTCGGAAAAAGCAACATCATTCAGAAAAACAATAGAAAGCGGCCTCAAACAGACGTAGTTCAAAAGATTTTAGAAATCTTAAATTTAGACATCAACTGACTAATATGTCCTTCAAAAAGGTAAAAATTCTACTGGTAACACGTGAATGCAAATCAGTAGAATGAACGGGTGAACAAGCTGATTCCTTACATTTTCTCCTTGAAAACTTTTACCCTTGGAAATCACATTTTTGTCCAGAACTATTAACACTTCTACCACTGAGGCGAAGCTACTTTCGCACCACTTGCAATACGACTAGATCTATCAAAATGAATGATAATAGTTGTCAAAAAAACAAGCCCAGACAACCGAATAAAAAATTAGTATCGGAACAAAACTTACCAAGCGGTAACAAAGCCACAAAAACCTAAGCAGAAACTTTTTGCAATTTAGCTCATTAAAGAGCCACAGAATTTTAAATCTTGCTCATCTTGGAACAGTGATATCCATTAAAAGAAGTCAGAACAAAAAAATGAAATACGAGAAAATTTGAGCTCATTTTAGAGACATGGAGTGTGTGAACCTTTACAAATTATCCCACCTAATATTGGAAGAAAAGCTAACAAGATCACACCATTGAGTATTATGAAAGAGCGTATAAACAACCACGAAGATGATGATGATTTTTGTAAAGAAAAAGACGCGTATTCGTACAATCTTGGCTATCGCTAAGGAAATGAAATCTTAGTAACAGACTATGCTTGTTTTAACTAATTGAGATCCAACAATTGGTTTATCATGAATCAATATATTATCTTAAAAAATATATCAAAACATTAAACACTAGCACTTTATTTACACTTTTACACTATTTTCTTTCTTTCAAGCTATTTTACAAATAACTAAAACAATTGGCACATCATTACAAATAATTTTAAGTAACGACTGAAAGCTGTTTTAACGACTAACTAGGTGCGACACCGCCACCGACATGCAAGCACACAGAGGAATAAGCGGTCTTTCAATTGATACTCCTCTTCAAAAATCCGGATAAACTTCTGATCATCATCATCATCATATCATAACCGGTTTTGGTATTTACGGTGCTGCGGTAGTCTCAGTCACTGGGGTTGGCAACACCTGGCACAGTCTAACTCCTGCTCTCCATCCTTCCCTGTCCCGCGGATCGGTGCCAGACAGGTTGCAGACACTAACATCATTACTCACACACTCTGACCACGTCTTTCTGGGTCTCCCTCTACCTCTGCGGCCAGGAATTTCTATGCTGGTGACGGAGTTGATGCATGACGAGGCACGTTGCACGTGTCCGAAACACCTGAGACGTCGTGTTCCTAGGACACGTGATCTCAACGACCCCCAGTTTCTGGTGAAGTGCAGGCCTGGAAATGTCAACATCCAGTTTGGTGCCACAGGTCCAGCGGATATTTATTCAAAAACAGACGCGACAAACTCTGCTGGAAACCTTCGTTTTCGGATAATATGTTGACATATTTATATACAATAATTAGATTCAATTAAGAGTACTCGATGTCATCTACAAACGTTAAACTGTAACCAAGTTAATGTTCGTAGAGAACTATTAGGCGCACCAAAAAAACTACCAAAAAAAAACATTTTTCATGGTTGGAATATCATTTTCCAGCATATATCATTGATTGATCCTTTCTTTCATGCTATTATAGCAGACACTTATGCAGTCGGAAAAAGCAACATCATTCAGAAAAACAATAGAAAGCGGCCTCAAACAGACGTAGTTCAAAAGATTTTAGAAATCTTAAATTTAGACATCAACTGACTAATATGTCCTTCAAAAAGGTGAAAATTCTACTGGTAACACGTGAATGCAAATCAGTAGAATGAACGGGTGAACAAGCTGATTCATTACATTTTCTCCTTGAAAACTTTTACCCTTGGAAATCACATTTTTGTCCAGAACTATTAACACTTCTACCACTGAGGCGAAGCTACTTTCGCACCACTTGCAAAACGACTAGATCTATCAAAATGAATGATAATAGTTGTCAAAAAAATAAGACCAGACAACCGAATAAAAAATTAGTATCGGAACAAAACTTACCAAGCGGTAACAAATCCACAAAAACCTAAGCAGAAACTTTTTGCAGTTTAGCTCATTAAAGAGCCACAGAATTTTAAATCTTGCTCATCTTGGAACATTGATATCCATTAAAAGAAGTCAGAACAAAAAATGAAATACGAGAAAATTTGAGCTCATTTTAGAGACATGGAGTGTGTGAACCTTTACAAATTATCCCACCTAATGTTGGAAGAAAAGCTAACAAGATCACACCATTGAGTATTATGAAAGAGCGTATAAACAACCACGAAGATGATGATGATTTTTGTAAAGAAAAAGACGCGTATTCGTACAATCTTGGCTATCGCTAAGGAAATGAAATCTTAGTAACAGACTATGCTTGTTTTAACTAATTGAGATCCAACACTTGGTTTATCATGAATCAATATATTATCTTAAAAAATATATCAAAACATTTAACACTAGCTCTTTATTTACACTTTTACACTATTTTCTTTCTTTCAAGCTATTTTACAAATAACTAAAACAATTGGCACATCATTACAAATAATTTAAAGTAACGACAGAAAGCTGTTTTAACGACTAACTAGGTGCGACACCGCCTCTTTTTTAACTAAAAAGTATCTCGCAATTTTCGGAAGGTGGTAGGTTTTGGAGATTTGGAATCCCGTATACACCTACTATGAACAAAAACCTCAAGTAAATTGAAATATAAATAGGGTAAATAATTAAGACTGGGCTTTTCAGTATTTTTTGAAGTTCTCTTGCCGTCTTGTTTTTTTTTCAGGTACCTGAAATAATTAATTTTCTTTGTAGTACTCTCTTAACTTATCAGATGAGGCTTAGCTGGTTTTATCTTCATATGATACACCAAAAACCACCTTATGCTAATAAAAGCGAGAGGTCGCAGCAGCTAAAACTTCGATCTAAGTTTAGATCTAAAAATTAAGAGCCCAAATCAAGCGCTTTCATAAACTCCTCTTCTGTGAAATGCAGCAACTTTGCAGCCTCGATATGCATTCGCTGCCTCTTCAGCAAATCTATCAACTTGAGTTGTTTTTTGAACCCCGCAATCAGTTCTGACTTCTGTTTCTCTAGTTTCTTGTTTTCGTTTATCAGCTGTTCCATTCTCTTTCGCTCTGTGTCTGAAGTTTCTTTCGAATTTTGGTTAACTTTTGCCAATTGTGTCTGAAACAAAGAAAATTACTTCAAAGGGCAAAATAAATATCATAATGGTGCTCTCTCAAGTAATGGTACTGTTAAAAAACTCCTTGCTTCTAAATTTGTTTAAGGAATAACCTCACGTGGAAACAAATTATTATTATTAAGAACTCTGATGGTACTGGGATAAATATAATTGATAACATTTGTTTGCAAAACAATCTCATTTGAAGAGAAATTTTTGTTGCATTAAAATAAAGAAAATTTGCTCCCAAATCGGCATTTCGTCCTTTTTCAGCTAGTGAACCTCCATTTGGGCTAATAATTGTGACTATTTTAGGTTTTTAAATCTGGACTATATTTCGTCTTCTCAAACAATCAAGTTTTTTTTTCGTCCGAGATGCTCGAAATCTCAGAATGACGCCGGGCATACGGTGTTTGAAATGAATGAAATGTTACCAGCAATTTAAACAAAGACACTTTTTTCAATAACGACTTGACACATTGCTTCATCAACGCCTCAGTTTTTATAAACACCAAAATGATGAAGTATTCTTTGGTACAAAAAGCTTCACCCCCTGTCCACTCTTCATTTTCCCCCATATTTTTAGCGGACTTCGAGTGTGAAATATTATGAGCAAAAGCTGCAAGAAGCGAAAAGTGCCTCTAAAACATAGAGGGACGACACATGTGTAGACTAAAATGAACGTAACTTGTATTTCTCAACTTCCTCCAGGGCTCTGTTCAGTCTCACTTCTGTCACTGACTTGCCCCCTGCACCTCCCCCCGCCTTGTTCGCCTCACGCTTCACTGCCTAAACAGATAGGTGTGCAGCAGTTGAAAAATATCGGCTCTTTTTCAGTTTCCTTGTAAATTTTTCGCACCTTCTGAATGTTCAGACCTTTGATTTTTCAATCCCCGAAACAATGTTTCAAATAAAGAAAGAAAGAAAGAAAGAATTTATTTTTCCGATTGATAAATATAGTCATTAGCAAAACAAAAGTAATTTCATCAATGCATTTATCATCGGAATGGACAACTAACGAGACCATTGGTCCACATAAATGTTGCCCTTATATAGCACACATACTGAATTTAACATCAAACAAAAGAAAGAAAATAAGTTTTTTTTTTTTTTTTTTTAAGAAGAAATTAACAAAAAAACAAAAAAATACGTGATTTTGATTTTTACCTAATTGAAAACATATTGTTCTTCATAGCGCTACCTATAGCAGTTCAGCTGATGCTCCGGCATGGGAACACGTCGCTTCAAAAAATCATAAAAAGGGCCATATCTCCTAAACTAAAAGGTTCTGGAGGGTCATATTTTTTCACATAAATCGCAACCTATAGTTGATTGTCCTTTAGCATTTAACCAAGGTACTGAAATTACACAAAAATTAAAAACTGAAAACTAAAGTTGCCAGCTCGTTGTTACCTAGCAGGTATCCATTCTTAAATTTATTATAAAAACTTGTAATTTTTCCAATTTTTGCAATTTCTATCCCATCTTCGAGTAAGCCTCTAGTTTTCAATACGTTGTAAAGCCTAGACCCCCGATAGGCAATTGATTGCCGTTCAAATCGTTTTTTTCTAAATGATTCTTTAAGGAGGTTTAAATTAGCCCTACGCGTTACTTTAGTGGGATTTTCGAATTCAAACACATTATTCAAAAAATCCTCACTGTGTAGTTTGTTTACTGATCGGAGTACAAATTTTAGTAATTCATACACATGAAGCTCGTGCACGGTTAGCAGTTGATTTCTAATAAAAATGTCATCCGATTGTTCGCGACGATTTCGGAAGTAAATCAATTTTAAGATCTTTCTTTGAAGTATGTAAATCGGCATTAAAGAAGAGTAGCTGCAACAACCGTAAATAAGAATACCGTATTGGATAGTTGATTTAATGTTAGTTCGATAGTAGTCTAAAAGCTGATGACGTGGAGCAAAATACCGTAATTTTGAAATAATGCCTGACTGTTTCGCTAATCGCATTCTTACATAATCAATTTGCGAAAAGAAGGATAATTTTGAGTCTACATATATCCCTAGGTATTTACAAACAGGTTCAGTTTTAATAGCACAGCTGTTTAATTGAAAGGTCATTGAATTGGAAGTCTTAATATTCATTTGTACTGTTTTATCCATATTAATAACTAATTTATTGGCATTTAGCCAGTAGTTCAAGTAAGAGATGTCATTTTCAATTGCAACATTTACTTGTCCTAAATCAGTGACATTGGTGTCGTCTGCAAAGAGGACAACTTCAGATGATTTGCAAACATGAGGAAGGTCATTTATATATATAAGAAAGAGTAAGGGACCCAAAATTGATCCTTGAGGAACACCGCATTTTATAGAAGACCAGTTTGAAGAAACGCCATTTATTTCTACACGTTGTTTTCTGTTCTTTAAATACGATTCAAACCAATCATAAGTAATTCCTCTGATTCCATAGGACTCTAACTTCTGTAATAAAAGAGAATGTTCAATTGTATCAAATGCTTTTTTTCAAATCAAAAAAGAAAGTAACAACATTTTGATTACCACATGACCGCATTTTTTCAGTAAAATCAACGAGCGCGTCTATTGTACTATGCTTTGACCGAAACCCAAATTGTCTACTATAAATAAGTGAGAATTTTTCAAGATAATTGTAAATACGAGTGTACATGGCTCTTTCAAATATTTTACTCCAGACAATTAAAAGCGATATTGGTCGGTAATTATTCTCATCAACTCTGGAACCACTTTTATGCATGGGTATGACTTTTGCTCTTTTTAATTTATCAGGAAAAATGCCTTGGCTGAAGGATTTATTTATTAACAGGGTTAAATACGGAACGGTAGCAGATACCGACAATTTAACTAAAATGTTATTAATATTGTCATCACCCGACGACGATTTATTATCAAGTTTGTTAATTATTTGTTCTACTTCAAGTTCAGTAACCTGATAAAGAAACATTGAGTGTCCCACTTGTTTAAGAGGTGGTAATGGTAGACAGTCCATGTCTTTTTTAAGTTGAGTGCCAATTTCGGAGAAAAAAACATTAAATCGTTCAGCAACATCAAAAGTTTATGGAGTTACAGAGTGCTGCTGACATGACTCTAGTATTGGTACGTTTGCATCATATATATTTTTACCACTTAAATCATTGAGTAATTTATATGTTTGTCTTGAGTCCCCAATACAAGCAGAGAATTTGTTACGGTAAAACTTCCGTTTTGCCCCTTTAATTTCTTTTTCTAGCTTAAATCTTAAGTTCTTAAAATTTTCCAATAAATTGGAATTATTTGGTTGACATTTCCATGAACGATGTGCTCTGTTTCTTTTGGTTCTTAAATTTTTCAACTTGTTGTTGAACCATTTCGGTTTTTTTAAATCAGTAATTGTGTTTTCACGCATGGGTGCAAAATTTGTGGTAGCTTTATTAAAAACCGCAGAAAAAATGTTAAATGCTGCTGATGGATCTGCAATATTGCAGATTTCTAACTCTTTTTCATTCAGTTCAATTTGCAATGAGTTTATGTACTTATTGGATTTATCTTTATCTTTGACAAAATTAAGGTCACGAAAAGTCTGAGTTTTTTCATTTTTTAAACTAGGTGGAGTCCATTGCAAGAGGACAGGAAAATGATCAGAGAAATTTTGGTATTCTAAAGTGTGTTGATAGGCTTCATTCAGGTTTTGATAAATGAAATGATCTAGACAAGTGTTTGATGTTTGAGTAACTCTTGTTGCTTTTGTATCACCTAGTTCGAATCCATTAGCAAAAATACAGTTCATGTAATTGTTCGATAGTTGATTAATCTTTGATATGTCAATGTTAATGTCGCCACATATTATAAAAGGAGTTGATGGCGAATAGTTTTCTTCTAAAAAATTCTCGAATGTATCTATGAACCGTAGTTTGTTAATTCTAGGTGGGTTGTAGATTACTGCTACTTTGAATTGGTAGTTATCTTTTTCAATAACCACTAGAATGCATTCCTCGAGGGTTGTGCTGATTTGTTTTATAAGCTTGAAATCTTTGCGTATTTGTATCATTACTCCGCCTCCGCGAGTTTTACGGTTGCATGTTGCAAACTTATTGTAACCATCAATGAGATAGCATCATTTATTATCATCATTTTCTGTTAGCCACGTTTCTGATAGGCATAGAATGGGGGGAGGAGACTCAAGACTATATACTAGTGCTTCCAATTCGTTAAGATGACCTTTCAAAGAGCGAACATTTATATGTAGCACAGAAAATTTAGGTTCCGGAGGGGGCCTCCGGTTGGTTGAAAACACCAGTGAAGCAATTTATAACATCATTATAATAGTAACCAAGTGTGTGACCACCCTCATAGAGCCCAGTAATTTTATTTGTATAGTTGTCATTTCTGTACTGGAAGAATATATTGCCCTCTCTGGACCAAGCGGAAGCGATGAGCTCATCTGTTTTCATCAATTTTAGAAAGTTGAGTCTCGCCTTGGTAAGATCTTCGAATATTTTCACCTCTTTCATGCACCTCTTTCATGCCCTCAGTCTCATTTAGCTGGCGTTTCTTCTTCAATATATCTATTTTAGCTGTTCTGCGACAAAAACGAACAATTATTGGCTTTGTGGTGCCCCGACCCGGCAGGCGATGAGCAACAGATATGTCTTGCTTGTTGACGCTTGAACCGATTTCATTTGCAATTTTTATCACTTTGTTTGCTGTCTCTTCATTGGATTCTCGCGTTCCGGTATCGCTCGCTACACCGATAATCCGGATATTTTCTCTTCGAGTGTAGCTTTCCACCATCTCAGCTTCTGACAGACTTTTGAGGTAGCAGCGTGCTTCTTGCGCAAATAATTGAGCTTTAACTTCGGAGAGAATTTGTTTCTTCATGTCTTCCGTAGCATCCGTGACCATAGTCTTCATCAGCTCTTTCATCTCATTTTTCAGGTTTCCAAACATTATTGGGATAATTTCGTTGATTGATGTTTTGATGGTAGTTTGGATTAATTGCACTAGGTTGTTATCAGCAGTTGTCTCCTGTTCTATGGGGCTCAGCACCGCACATCCCCGTTTACTGCATGACTTTGGGATGGGCGTCATACCTTGGTACCTTAGTGCGGGAATATCTTCGGTATTGGTTTCAGCTTCAGTATGCATTTGCAATATGTTGTTTGAATCAGCATCAGCATTAGGGATATTGTCAGGTTGGGTATCAGTCATGATCATTTACTGCCTCTGAAACTATTTAATAAGTTTATCACAACAATTAGGCTAAAAAATGGTTTTAGTTATTATAATTAATCCTTAACAATATGCCTTTTAAATTTAACATAACGTGAACTGTTAAGCATTTTCATATTGTTATTTCTTGAAAAGGAGAGAAACTGAAAGCAACCAAGGGCTCTTGTGGGTTTTCCTTCGTAGCTAACGTTGTATTCCTACTTCACCATTTTCATTTAGTTAAAAATCGAAATAATTAGCGGTTTTCATTTGGCCAAACTGTATAAAATCAATTCAATTTAGCCCAAATGATAGTTATGTAAATCTTTCTTGCTGTTTCATATCAAATATAGGTTGAATGCCGACACTGTTTGGACATATTTTCAAACGAATATCTCCAATTGTTCTTCTATACCTAATCTTCGGGCTACAACAAATTATCAATCGGCAGAAACGTATCCAATCATGTTCGAACTTCTAACTCCTTGGGAACAATTTATTGGCCAATACAGGCTTATAAGTATCTCAGCTGAAAAATTATTATTTTTATATATATAATTTATATGTGCCAGTCGGTCATATTTGGAAGTTTGACCTTGAGAAGAGCAGAAAACACTTGATTTTGGAGTGAAATTTAAATTTTTAAATTTTCGAATGGAACATGTCATGCACGATTTTCTCGCGAGAACTGAAAATCAAAAAAGGAAAAGAGAACAATTTTAGAACAATTGCGGGAAAGTTGTCAGAAAAAAACGAGTGGGAAATTGCTATTCGCAATTTCCATCATAGTGAACAAGAGTAGAGCTGTCCTATCTGAAATAGAAGACAGAGTATTCCCGAGAGAGCAATTATTCGAACTGGACCAGAGTGAACCTTCGACGGAAGGGTGGACAGCTTGAGTGTCCCAATGGTCCACATAAAACTTCGTTCTTGAGTTCAAACTTACCCTTACCATTCAAACTGATAAACATTGAACTTATCTAGTTACCTTAGTTAATTCTAGAGTTGCTCACCCATTTAATTACTTCCTGTGCTTGAGCGCATCAACATGTGAGTCCTTAATTTAAATTTCTAGAGTGTGTTTTATGATTGTTATGTTGAGGTAAGGCGAGTTTTAGGTTGATCCATCTGAAATGGATCAAAGTCACACTGTCTAATAAAAAGTAACCTAACGGATTGTTCCAACCCGGTTTTTAACGGCGTTCATGTATTTTGGGTATCTAGAGACCTAAGTATGGGGACGTTCTTAATTCTAGAGTGGGGGGATATTTTAGTAGTAGCCTTTAAGCTGTAACGGGTCGTAGTCTCATGTCACAAGCGAACCGAACTGGCTCCGACCGTTCTTGAGGTGGGAAAACACAAGAGATAGTGTCCCTGACCCTTGAGCCAGTGGTTATAGGGCCTATTTTTCTTAAGCCTCATGTGTGACTGTAGTAGACGAATGTTACATAGTGTTTTTATGGCGCTCCTGGGTGTTTACGACATCAAGACTACGGAGTCGAACCCACTTGAGACAGCTTCGGGCTGAATGCCCATTCTAGAGTACCGGCGGTACGGTTCGACAGGAACGTGCAAACCTTCCGGTTGTACCGTGATAGCTTTTTAAGAAAACTCGAGAAAATTTCCTGGTACGCTCTCCGAACGAGGCTTAGCTAACCGAGTAAAGGGGGGCAACTAGGGGGACAAAAACACGAGCAAAAAGACAAAAAGCAAAACAAAAACCAAAAAAGATTAGAAAAAGGAACAAAAACCATAAAACGAAAAAAGACAGTGACTTTGACACCAGATTAGTTGGATCAAACCTTTATATTAATTAAATAGTATACCCATACTGTTTTACAAGTTCGATCGTTTCGATCAACCTAGCAATTTAAACCAGTAAACTGAATAAAGTGCCCGAAGTGGGGCGTTGTCAAGGGTTTTCAGATAGCTTGGAACTTAGCTGGACCAATAGGAGACTTGACTGGAAGAGGTGACCAGCCGAGTGGGAAAGTGGTTCAGGGACACTTGAGCTGAACCAATAAGAGACTTGACTGGAAGAGGTGACCAGCCGAGTGGGAAAGTGTTTCAGGGACACTTGGCTGAACCAATAGGAGACTGGACTGGAACAGGTGACCAGTCGAGTGGGAAAGCAGCCAAGAAGGATTTGGCAATTCTCGAGTTCTCGAGTTGGGCAGAACGGGTATCGTTAGAATCCACATTACATTATAGGAGATAAGTGTAAAATTGGATAAGCGAAATCCCCCAGTTTTGAGGAACGTTTTTACTTGAGCAGGCCTGGAAACAGGTCTACGGTTTTCTCTTGAGAAGTTTAGCACCCGGCGCTTAAAGTAATTTTTAGGCTTAAGAAGGGGGGCTAGAAAGGGGGGAGGTTAGAAGGGGGGCTGGTTAAGTTAGAGGTTGGCGGTTGTAAATTGTAAAAAGGGGGAAATTAGAGTAACTAATTAGTCGACATCGTTGACTTAGTTACATTAGAAATTAACACGCGTTGGTAATATTAGGTGGAGATCCAAAATTCAACTCGAGTTAAGACTGGTACGCTGGTTGGTTTGGTAGGGGGGACCGGATATAGACAGCTTTTGTGATACCCCATAAGATCACTAGTGGGGGGAGGAAAACGCGTGGCAATTAGGTACCAGACAATTTTTTTTAGACGAAAGGTAGACATTGGTCACCTTTAAATTTTAGGTGGGGCTCATTTTTCTGTTTTTATTATTTTTCTTACTTAAAATTTTTTGTTGCATTTTATTGAGGATTTGTGTTTGGTTTTATACGAACAGGTGATCACAAGATACCTGCGCACCTACATTGAAATAGAAACAACCAAAAAGAAGAGGGGGGGTCAGCATTTGGCTTTTAAGAGAGGGTTTTTGGGAAAATTTTACTAGAGCTTGAGTGGTGGTACAAAGTACGGTGGTTCAAGAAGACCCTACAACGAGGAAGACACTCCGTGACGAGTATTGGGACAGGGTCTTGGGACAGTGGTCTTGGGACAGTGGTCTTGGGACAGGGTCTTGGGACAGTGGTCTTGGGACAGTGGTCTTGGGACAGGGTCTTGGGACAGGGTCTTGGGACAGTGGTCTTGGGACAGGGTCTTGGGACAGTGGTCTTGGGACAGTGGTCTTGGGACAGGGTCTTGGGACAGGGTCTTGGGACAGTGGTCTTGGGACAGGGTCTTGGGACAGTGGTCTTGGGACAGTGGTCTTGGGACAGTGGTCTTGGGACAGTGGTCTTGGGACAGTGGTCTTGGGACAGTCTTGGGACAGTGGTCTTGGGACACTAGTCTTGGGACACTAGTCTTGGGACACCAGCCTTGGGACACTGGTCTTGGGACACTGCCCTTGGGACACTGGTCTTGGGACACTAGTCTTGGGATACCAGCCTTGGGCTACTGGTCTTGGGACACTACCCTTGAGACACTAGTCTTGGGACAGTAGTCTTGGGACACTGGCCTTGGGACACTAGTCTTGGGACAGTAGTCTTGGGACACTGGTCTTGGGACACTGCCCTTGGGACACTGGTCTTGGGACACTAGCCTTGGGACACTGGTCTTGGGACAGTAGTCTTGGGACACTAGCCTTGGGACACTGGTCTTAGGACAGTAATCTTGGGACACTAGTCTTGGAACAGTGGTCTTGGTACAAGGGTCTTAGGACACTAACGGAGAGTACTGTGATAGTGACGAATAGTCTTGGGACGGTATAGAAATTGAAGTCAAATTACAACAAGTGCGTTTTAAGACAGAATAAGACAAATCGAAATAGGTAGGGTTAAGACCAAATTAAGGAAAATTTTTCGGAGGTTTTAGGAAGAGAATTGGATAAGGTTTTTAACACGTTGTACAGAATTTGTGACCAAAAAAAAAAAAAAAAAAAAAAAAAATATTTTTTTTTACCCTTAGAATAGAATCGTGTATATAATAAAATTGTAAATAAAAGCAGTTGTAAATAGAAATAATGAGGCGGAGTAGGGTACCGGTGCTCGAAAAAAGGTCAAGTGGATCAAACACGAAATATAATTCATCGCTGCGCGGAACGACATCAACGGGCCCAAAGATAACGAAGACGAACTTTTCAGTTAACATGGTCAGCACAAGGAGTACAGCGGAGAACAGGGCGAAAGAGGGCACGGAAGGGGAGCGAGTAGAACCCACCATCGAGATTGATCTAGAGACACCAGATCAAAGTGTGGATGAAACAAGGAAGATGGCGACAGAGTCAACTCCAATGCCCAATGCAGAGGAACCGAACCAGAAACCCATAGAGTTCTCACCGATAGATGACGCGGAAGATGCAATAGGCAACACCGAAGAAACGGTGAAAGAAGACTCTCAAGTAAAGAGGACATCTTTTACGGAAAAATTGGGAATAATGTTCGGAATAAAAACGAAAGAAAACGTGACTGAAGAACCAAAAGCAGAAAGAGCACGAACATTTGGTACAGTGAGCACGAAAACGACAGAAACCGGCCAGAATGAGGAACAAGCTAAAGCAGAGGCTAAGGCCGAAGAGAAACTCACGGCTGACCATGAAGAGACTACCATTGAGCTGGGCGACTTGTTGGCGAAATTAAATCAGATCGACAAAAGACTTAAGAACAGTGAAGAAGACAGAGAGGTGATAAAAAAGGAGATAAGATACAACAAGCACGAGTATCTAGACAGTTATTTTAACCTGGCTAAGGCAACAGAGGAGAGACTCAAGGAGATGTCAGACAAGGTAGAAGCCACCAATGAAGAACGAGAAAAGAACATCAAAACAGACATGCAACAGTTGAAGAACCGATATGATGATGTCAACAGCCAATTAGGGAGCCTGGAAAGGAGAATGGACACAATGAGCAAGAGTCAAGCCGAGAGTTCGTGTGCAATACAGGCGAAGTTGGATGCAATCTTGAGAGGTTCTACTCCACAAGAAAGACCGGCAGCGGATCGTACGCAAAGCACCAGAGTTGACTTTGTAGAACCACAAAGGAACAAACGGCAATCGACACCGTTGCCCTTAACCAGGGATGCGATAAGCATAGCACCAACAACTGCGAAAAC